GTCGATATTGTTCAATGGAGAGAATGTGGGGAATTACCGAGAAGACCTTGGCTTGCACAGTAAACCAGTTCTCAGTTCTACTTTTTGACATCATTAAGCATGGGTTTGAGTTTGACTCGCGAAAATTCTCAGAAGAGACCTGCGAGAGTTTTTTATGCTGCCGTGTTTGCAAAAAGTAAGCACATGTCCTTCTAAAGTGTTTTATTCGGTTTTAACTAGTCTTTTATTGTATCTCTCTTTTTCTTATAGGCGGTATATACCCAAATGTAATTGGACTTATCGACGGCACAATGCAGAGGGTCTCTCGCATAACTATAAACGAGGAGCAGAAAGTCATGTACAATAGATGAAAGGTAATATATTAATTATAAGAAATGGATTAAACAGAAATGTAGCTTATAACAACCTATGTATTATATGCCATATTATTTGTACAGCACATCCATTGTCTGAAATACCAGGCGATTGCCATCCCCGATGGAATCACAAGTAAGCATCATTGGTCCTTTTGCGGGAATTAGCAATGACGCAAAAATCTTTGACCAGTCAAAGACCCTGCAGAGACCTATTGCTCATGTGGATCATATGCAGCCAGAAAATGACCCAGATCTCAAATATGCTTTATATGGTGACCACGCATACAAGAAGTATATGTACATTTAACGGCCTTTCATGACATATGAGATTGCTCAAGATGGTGAGTTATTTAAAATAGAGTCAAAGCAATCTAATAGCATAGTTCCAATAAATGTGGTACAGATCTGATATGTATATCTTTAGACCGCAGAAAGGAATGGAATACTGCGCAATCCTGTTAGAAACATCATTGTCGATGATTTACTAGGTAGGAGCCATCAATGTTTTTTTTAATGTTACATATCGCCTGACGCGGCGTTTTGAGAATACAGGTTCTGGAGCTTGTTGTCAGTACGCAGTCAGATCTACAGAATGACATAATGAAAGATGTTCAGACGTGTTATTCCCCCTCATTAAAGTCACTGCTTCCTTCCCTCCTGTTTTAGTTGAGGTCCAAAATTACCATTGATCCCAAATTTATACAAAGAACAATAGAATACTGCCTTGCAGTTAACAAAGAGCATGGGATTTTACCAATTGTTATTGCCTTTGGTATACACCCTACAAAAGAAAATGTAACCAACGATTTAGTAGAAAGTAGCCAAATCATATACGAAAGAATATCCTTGTAAGCCATGGGCTAGATATTTTTTTTTAATATTCTGGATCCTACTATTATCAGCGACTATGTTCATGAGCAACCACTTAAACCATTATTTGCAGTGGAATACTTTTTTACACAAGCAAAAAAAAAGAAAAACATTTGTTGAGTTATAGACAGCAAGGAACGTGCCGATGAGACAGTACAACTGCTTTATAGTATTGCAAAACAAATTTCTGTAAACGAAGTTACCTTGGAAGAACGAACAATCGACGTTCTTTTGAATATGTGTGTGTGTGTGTGCACAAACACAAAAAACAGTTTCATAAAATCAGAAAAGCACTAGAGCTTGAAGATGTGGAAGAGCCAAGAAAACGCACAAGAGAGTATACAAGAAGATGGGTATGCATATTTGGAAACACGCGAGACAAAGTATCGACATACATCTTTGTCTGGACCTTTAGATCTACCAGAAGAAGCAAAGAAAAAGAAAAAGGAAAACTTCTAAACAAACACTAAAGTGCTTGAAAAGAGCCTGGGATGTTGAATGTCAACTGAATAAACCACTTAGCTTATCCTTGTTGTTATTGTTGTTTTATTGATGACGCTGGTTTCAGTGCAAAATCTTTAGTAGAGCATCAAAAATAAAATAAAATAAGAGAGATAAAGTGCGAGCTGTAAAAAGTCCTTGGATTATACCCAACCGTCTCTACTACACTATGAGACGGAATGTGTGTTTTGGTGTAATAAATTATATATAGTGCTATTGGGTGTAATTTTGTGTAAATCTTTATCACTAAATTTGTACCAACTGAAAACAACTCATAGCTGAAGGAATAGGATGGGACAACCAACAATTTTACAAGCTATATTAGCTTCAGTCCAATGGTAAAGCAAATACAACACACAAATGTAAATAGACATCTTGTTGACTACGGTCACTGGATAACCCAAGACCGCTCAGAAATAAAAGCTTATATAAAGATATTAGAACAGACTTGTTGATAAAAACCACAACCCCTGAAGGCTACAGCTAGACATCTTATCAGAAGATACACAAACAATTGATGAAGCAAGAAGTTTGATGAGAAAACTATACAAACAGTGGTGAAGCGTATGATAAAGGTAAGCTTTAGTACTATTCACGTAGAGTTAAGGAAAAATAATATAAAGTAAAAGTCCTATATTCTGCTTAAACTGAAATATACTACGGCGGAATGAATGGCAGTTGTGTTACGAAAGTGGAAACATGTTACCCTTTTTTCCGCCGTATTGTACCCTCCTCGTACCATTAGACCCTCTATGAGTGGTAACCACATAGAAGAACACGGCAAAGTAAGACAAATAGCGTCATTGGGAAGTCAAAATATGAGACCACGAAGATATATGTCGAATACACAAAAGAGGGTATCAGTGATGGAGAAAGGCGACTTTAGACTGGCTGGTTGCACTTCAGGAAAGAAAATAGGTAATTCGTAACTAAATGCCATGCAATGTGTGCTCAAGGTATGTTGTAGAGAATGTATAATAAAGATTGGGTGATCGATGTAGGCGTGGAGGAGAGAGTGAGTGCAACAGAACTGTAATGGGTTGCTGATAACGAGTTGAATACAAAATACCGATATCATCATAACGCTTATTAAGTCGCAGAAAACTTAGCCGAGTAAGAGAGAAATATTCCATGAGTGAGACATTTGCGTCCAAGAGTTTGGATAGAATGTATGATTAAAGAGTAAATGGAGAACAGGCACGATATATGATACGGTTTAGACATGATAAGAGCGGGGAGGTCAATGGATGGTCCCAGTAAAGACAGTTGACGTTGAATGTGTGTGCTGCAGACACAAGATATAGCTAACAAAAAATGATAGCCGAGATATGTGACATAAGAAGCCGAGTTCTGGTCGTACCAATGTGATATATATAGCCAAAAGAGCAGATTGTAAGAGGTAAAACTACTCTGATAATGTCTATAGCCTGAAATGAGAGAGTCAAAGATATACACGTCTTCGTACAATTGCATTTGTGACAGTAAGAATTGAGTGAAGCAGGTGATAAATAAATAAATAAAGTCTGACTGAATGAAAGTGGGTATTGATCATGGACCATTTGCACAAATAATCCAATTGAGTTGCTGGTGGTGGAGTATTGGGGATTAATTTTGAATGAGTATCTCAATATTAGGAGAAGTAGATATTGTGAGAGCATGATTTATTAAAGAGACAAAGTAATATTGTTTATATTTGCTACTATTCAAATCCGTGTTGTGTAACGGTTGGTTGGTTTACACTGTACGAATGTGTGGTGTATATGTGCCTGGTGTGTGATAGTTCTGGAGATTGTTAACTTGCCAGGTTTATTAGCAAGAAGAGACCAGTTTTTTGGCCATGGCTTTTATTTCACTTAATTGTAGTGTGTATACTACAAGACCTACTAAAAATTGCACCATATTATACAGAAACTTCATTTTACATTTATATGGTTTAAATTAGCTGAACTAACAATTAAAGCTTCACACGTTATTATCATTATATCCCCCCACAAAAAGCAAATCCTTGAAAAGAATGATAGTATACTAACTCCACTTGCCTGACTGACCATAATACTACAAGGCTTCTAAAGCTTGGCTATTTTACCCATGTCTTTTCCATGCTAAATTATTACTATAACGAGTGCTGACTCTACTTATTTCTATTGCTAACTACCTCTGACCCTTTGGTAATGATCGACCACAAAAAATAAAAAAAAATAAAAAACCCCGACACATCTAGCCAAACTACATGTCTTCTTTTTCTCGCTCACACACCCCTCTTCTACTGGCTCACTGTAAAATCCTCATCGTTATATTAGCATGTTAAGTTCACTTTTTATTGTGCTCTATTAGTGTGTCGTAGATTCATTACTATGGAGTATAATCCAATAGCCGAGCAAGTGAATTTCATTATTGTGAAATACGATACGGACCAAAGAAATAATAATAATGAAATATCATCAATGTACATACACCTATCATCATTTTTTTTTCTTATCACTCAAACAGCACCATTGTTACATACTGAATTGTGAATCTTGAGCCATCACACTAAACTATCTTTCTTAATTAGTCATGTACTCAATTAACATGAGTCTCGGCCCCATTGTAACGGCGGTTGTTACCATCTTTCAGTCAAACCTAGTGTGAAAGCTGTAATTCCCAGCTTACCACCGAATTACTTAAGAGAGAGAGAGAGAGAGAGGAAAAAAAAGTCTATTACTGCTCGCTTTACAAACAATAACATTCTTTCATGCTAATCTCAAATGATTGTCGGATGTACATGGATTCTTTTGTACAATCTTCACATGTCTCTGGGCTCCGGGTACCCTCAGACTTTTTTAGGGTTTTTTTTTGCTTTTGCAATAATAATAATAATAATAATAATAATAAAGAAAAATAAGCAATATAATATAATAGCATCTCCAGCAGTTGCTTTTATCTCGACTTTTATCCCGTATTTAGACTTTTAGCTAAAAGTCATGCTCCCAGCAGTTCATTTTATTTTATCTAATTAGAAATAAAGGATGAAGTTAGATATCACGTTATACAACTTATAACTTTCGTCACGTATTCTCTAACTTACTTGTTTCTCATTAAAATAAAATATAAAGGCTATACTACTTGGCAATTGTGTACCGTACACTATTAACAGTAGGGAAAAGTTATAAAGAACTCAACATAGGCCAATGGCCGCTCCCCCCGAGGGAAGGGGGGACCAAAGCTCCTAGTATATATAATAATACATTTTGGATAAAATATATAAGAGCTGTTTTTTCCTGGCTATACCTATGACTCTTATTCTAGCTCTAGCTATGACTCTAATTCTAACTCTAGCTATCACTCTACTTCTAACTCTAGCTATGACTCTAATTCTAACTTTATCTATGACTCTACTTCTAACTCTAGCTATGACTCTAATTCTAACTCTAGCTATGACTCTAATTCTAACTTTATCTATGACTCTACTTCTAACTCTAGCTATGACTCTAATTTTAACTCTAGCTATGACTCTAATTCTAACTCTAGCTATGACTCTACTTCTAACTCTAGCTATGACTCTAATTTTAACTCTAGCTATGACTCTAATTCTAACTCTAGCTATGACTCTACTTCTAACTCTAGCTATCACTCTACTTCTAACTTTATCTAAGACTCTACTTCTAACACTAGCTATGACTCTACTTCTAACTCTAGCTATCACTCTACTTCTAACTTTATCTAAGACTCTACTTCTAACACTAGCTATGACTCTAATTCTAACACTAGCTATGACTCTAATTCGGCTTCTTCTAGTAAAGTCAGCTGTTAGTAAAGTTAGTTGTTAGTAAATTTATTTGTTCATAAAGTCAATTGTTCATAAAGTTAATTGTTCATAAAGTTAATTGTTCATAAAGTTAGTTGTGAGTAAGGTTAGTTCCCGTTGCTTGTTAGTTCCCGTTGCTTGTTAGTATCTGTTGCTTGTTAGTATGTTAGTATGTTGCTTCTGTTGCTTCCTGTTGCTATAAAAAGATATATATTTGTTAGTTGCTTCTGCCGGGTTTCCCGGGGATTACTCTTCTTGTTACCATTAGAAGAGCAACCCCCGGACTACGGACTTTTTACTCAGACTCGAAAATGGCAGCCGCCGTATGGGCTTTTGGCCAGACGGGGTTCTGCCTTTGCCTCTGTCCCTGTCTTTGTCTTTGTCATTGTCATTGTTTTTGTCTTTGCCTCTGTCTCAGGCTCTGTCTCAGGCTCAGGCTCAGACTCTGCCTTTGCCTCTGTCTTTGGTTCTGGCTCTGGCTTTGTTGTTGTTGTTGTCGCTGCTGCTTCTGCTTCTCTTCTTTTAACCGCGAGTGCTTCCGCCGCTCTTTTTCTAGCAGCGAGCGTCATGGCCTTTACTGCTCTTCTGGGTGCGAGCGTCTCTGCTTGCTTTTGCACTTGAATAGCTTCTTCGGCTGCGACTACTTCTGAGACTACTTCTGCTACTTCTGCGACTACTTCTGCTACTTCTTCTTCTTCTTCTTCTTCTTCTTCTTCTGCTACTCCTTCTTCTTCTACTTCTTCATATTCTTCATATTCCTCATATTCTTCTTCTTCTTCGTCGTCATCATCATCTTCTTGTTCTTCTTCGCTTTCTTCTTCTCCTATTTCCACCTCTATTCCTTCTTGTACAGCCTGTGTGTATGCCATTGCAAGTGCTTTTCTTTTGCAAAAGGCTTCAACTTCTGGAATCATGGCTGTCGGCTTGAGTTCAGAGAGCGGTGTTTGGAAACGCTCAGCCCGAGCTATGTCCTGCTCACGGGCCTTGACAAAAGCCTTGCCCTCGAACCACAATTTCTTTCTTTTAATAAGATGCTCAAGGGCAGGCCAAGAGCCGTCTACATTTGCCGGTTGCCCCTCATACTCCTCCTCCTGGAGTTGCCGCTTAACCCCCCTAGGAATATCTGATAATATATAGAAATTATTGGTATTAATATTTTATCGCTTATCTATTATTATATAAAGACAAAACTTACAAAGCTCCATTGCCGTTCTTTCTTTGAGTGCAATAATGTAGTTAGATTCTTCTGGGGCAGGAATACCCGCCAGCTTCATTAGAATTCGGTCCCTCAGAGGCTTGGGGATCGGCTTGCTAATGGCCTTTTGACCAAACACAAGAGAGCTGTTGCTGGACTTTCTAATGCATTTGCATTTGCTGTTGCATTTGCTGCTGCATTTTCTGTTGTTATTGTTGTTGTTGTTGTTGTTGTTGTTGTTGTCGCTGCTGCTGCTGCTGCTGGTGTTGCTGTACATTGGAGTAAACTAATGAAAAAGCGCAAAGAAGAAAAATAATAATGTGAGAGTGTTCCTTTTTTTAACGCGTTATAATCTTTGGGCCACACACTTTGAGACGTGTTCTTTATTTAAAGTGCAAGTTTTGACCTTTGGGCCACACGCTTTGTAACGTCATCCATTTTTTATATTAACTTGAGCCAATCATTCGCAATTTTGAATGTAGATGTTGGGAATAGAACGATTGAGTTGAGAAAAGTGACTAGTAAGAGACTTTATTATTAGGAAGAGCTTTCGAGCTGTATAGTGTCTAGAGTCGGATTACTGACCTCTTTACAGCCAACTACTATTACTTTTTATTTTTCTCCCTCGTTCTACAAGTTTCAATCTCCTAATGTCGCTGCTTTTCTCTTCCAAATGGCGATGGTCACCAAATACACCCGCCGTCTCAAGTTCCCAAAATCAAGATAAAAACAATCATGATTGCTTGAATACTCCTTCGAATAAGTTTATTCAGGTTCAAGGTTCAAGGTGCATACACATAAACCATTTGTAAAAATTCTTATTCCATTCACGTAAACTGATTAAGAGTTTAGATTTTAATCTATAAAGAGTATATAGCTGAGATTTACTAATTATCTAATAATAATATATCATTTCTCAAAAGCACTATTGATAGTTTCCTTTTTTTTGTCGGTGCTGTTTATTGATTAATCCGCCAGGTTTTACCGTACGGCTATTTAAAATAAATTATGCAGTTTTCCGTATACACACACTGAGGTACACTGAGGTATTCGGGATTATTATTGAGCTAGTATCTCAATATAGGAAAAAGTAGATGTTTTGAAAGCTTTGTTTATTAAAGCGAGTCAGAGTAATATTACTTATATTTGATACTATTAAAATCCATGTAAATCAAAACCCTGTTGTGTAATGGTTGGTTTGCACTGTACGAGTGTGTAGTGTACGTGTGCCTGGTGCGTAACAGCTCCGGAGATTGTTAACTTGTCAGGTTCATCAGCAAGAAGTAACCAGTGTTTGGTCGTCGAGTATGCACTTCACTCAATTACGGTGTGTATACTACAGTGTCAAATAGTGCAGAGGCATGGTGGTAGAGGGTGATTTGGAATGAGAGGGTATTGAGGATAGTTCGATACCATATATTATCAGATGAGTGAGGGATAGGAAATGACCAAAAGGTGCACCATTGTCGTGGGGTGAGTGGCAAAGAAGCAAGTTAGAGCTTTGAATGGGTTGCGGCATATAGCACAAAAACTATGGGTACCAAGAGTACTAAATAGGGCATATTTTGGATTAAGAGCAGCAACAAATAAAGAACAGGTGAAAGCCAGTGGTTTTGTGGGCAAGTAGAGAGAGGGATGTTAAAGGGGGGATAAGGGTGGCTCTTTCAGTAGAAAAATAGCAAAACAGTTTGGAAATGAGGTATGGAGATGAATTCCTTTCGTTGGGTGATCGAGGACGGACGGCCTCTAACTCCTCATCATATATAAACGTATCAGACGCTAAAATCCTCCGCCAACTTGTTGTAGTACGTCCAGAAGGATCACAAAAATAAAGTAGCCAACAGTGACAAAAGAGAAGTTGCGCGGAATGGGCTTCATTGTGGACAGAACAAAAAATGATGGTGTCGCAGACGTGGAAACAACAAAGGTGGTCGAATATCGCCGTGTGTTTGGGCAGGATGAAGACTGTGTTGTATCCGTGGAGTGAAAAAGGAGCAACACGCTGGTGGATATATAGAGGGCTTTAACCATCGCATGGTAAAGGCCTTTTGTTGGAATTTGGAATTGAGGATTTAATATACCCAATTCGTCTTGTGTCCAAGGAAAACAGAGAGAGGCTAGACTAGCCATGGGTAAAATTTTCTGGTGAAGGAACTGACGCATAATAGACCCAAGTTTATCAAAGAACTTGATATGAGCAATAGTGACATGAAGAACACGCTGCATGCGAGAGAGAATCAGTGTGATAAGAAATGTGGAACGACCAAGTAGTAATAGTGAGGGCTGTGAGTAAATATGACATGCAGATTCAACAAATTGCATGAGTGACTAATAGAACTAGTCTCGTTAAGCTAGAAACAAGATTAAAGGAGACGCTAGGTATGCCAGGACAGATCGTGAAGTGCGATAATGTCATGCAGTAATAGACTTGTCTGGAGAAGAGTTTGCGATTTGGTTGATGAGGCACCAGATAACGAAAAGGCCTGTATCTTACGTAGGTTTGTTTGTGCATGAGAGGCCCGAGAGTATGCGTCCAAGTGTTGGTATATAATAAAAAAAAACTGCAAGAATGTGAAGAAAAACCAAGAAATCATCAGAGTGGGCTAGTATTTTAACAGGTGGTGGTGTAGAGTTGTCAAAAGCGTCAATGTAGATACATGATCCATAAAACGAAGTGCCATGGATCAATCATCAGGGCAAGGGCTCAAAGGCGAGATGGAAGAGTGACAATGGATCTTCTTAGAAAAGTCCCTGTTGTTGCTCTATAGAAGGTGAAATAAATGCATTGTCATTAACAGATACGTCAATAGAGAAGAAAAGTTTGGAAATACAGTGGACAATGATACCAGGAAAGCAAAATCGTTCCAAAGCTCGCTTGAGATATTAAGGATGTACACTATTGTACGCTTTTGCCTGGTCAAGCAACAAACCAACGGAGTCAATGGAGGAGAGCTGTGTCTGTTCCATAGCTATGCGGCTCATAAGCCCATTATTGGTAATTAACTGCCTTTTAAAAAGGCCAGTCTGGTATTGCTTAACCAGTGACTTGGAGGCGGGTGTGCTACGTAAATTTAGCAAACGGGCGAAGGCTTTGATATCAGTTTTGATTAATGAAATAGGTTTCCAGTTTTTTAAAGTGGAAAGGTCGGCTTTTATAGGTAGCAGGGATAAACAAGTAGAGCTCCAAGATGGGGGAAATATACCATGTAAAAGAGCACGACTATAGATAGTCGTGTCCATGTCGGAATATACATCCTCAGTTAACACTAATAACAGAAACTCATACGGAAGGCCATCAGAGCGAAGAATACTTTTGCGGGGAGATCTATCAGATGCAGAGCAAATTTAGTCAAAGATGAAGGAGGAAGTCATGGATGACCGTACAGTTTAATTAAGATAGACATGTTCAGGAACATTGTGGAGAAAATCGTCAATGGTCGAGTGATCAGTAGGATCAGCGGTATAAACCTCCCCATAGAATGCACTAGCAGCGTCAGCCTTAGTACTAGGCGTACTGCAGGTCGCATTTGAAACAGAGTGGCGTAAAAAAGGAATATGTTTTTGCGCTGTCTTAGTCGCAACAGGTCTCTTGAGGCATCCTGCAGAATGTTCTTCATTTTATCTCTAATATTTCTGTGCTCTAAGAACAAGGATATTTACATGCTCTTGCTTTATAAGAGCAAACTTACGTTCGACAACAACAAGCTGTGTATCTCGGATATGGTAGATCTTGTATTTATGTATAAGTCGATCGAGTTTGCTTTTCATTGCCTTTTCTTATGCAGCACGCCAAGCGGTAGATACCCGAGAAAATGTTTTAGCAACCTGGCAAAGAATAGCCTTGACTTTTTTGCATCTATCTTAAGGGTAAGGTAATTGAGTCAAACTGGGAAAGATACCCTGTAAAGACACAGAGAAGCGTTCTTGGAAATATGAGGGTATTTTCAGTCGAGAGTCAGCACACCATAAACCTCTTTCGGTATGAGCTGTACCGAAAGATAGAGTAATCGTAGTAAGAAAATAATCAGCTCGTATAGGATTGTCGTAATCTACGGAAGGCTCGTATTTGAGGCCGGCTAGACCTGGTGTTGCAAAGTTGTAGTTGATACTACTCATTTGCATTCTTCAGCAGAATTTTGGAATAGGGAGTTTGACCTTCATCAGTGACACAATCAATTAAGGTTTCATGAACGTGGTGCAACCACGGTAGAGATGTATGACAAGGGTATGAAGAAGTAGAGCTGTAAGTATAGTTGAAATGTTTAAGGAAGAGGAAACGAGATGAAGTAGCAGGTTGGCCAAATTGTGTCAATTGAAGAATAGAAGTGGAAAAGGCCCGGGGTCTTGATACTGTTGCAGGAGCATATATGACAGCAATCTTTATAGAGCCAAAATGGTAATGTATATAACGGATAGTAGCAAAAGTAACTCTACCACATATACTATAGTAGGATTAAAAGAAGAAGAAGAAATATAGGACGAGAAGAAAACAAGGCCGTAGTGTTATGTCCATTGGCTCTCTGCTCGAAATTGTTTATAAGAAGTTTTTTGAAGTTTTGGGTTGTTTGTGTGCGTTTCCTAGATTGCAAGTACTTGAATATATTTTGAGCGTAGGTGTCAAATAAAGTAATTACGTTGTTGGGGGTTAAAGGTCTCGGTAAGCCACCGACAGTTGGTTGTTGCTATTTTAAATGTAGTCATCATATTATTATAATGTGAGGGCTCTATTGCGTTTTGCGCTGTCTGATAAAATGAATCTCTTGGCTTCATTACGTAAAATTCTCCTTTTAATTTGTTTCTTGGGTTTATTAGATACATTAGTCTGATTTTTGTTTTTGGTCTCGTCAGTGTCGCTCATGTGTGCGTCAGATAGGGCATCTTTATCCTCAGATTCGGGGGATACCACTGTCTTCGCTTAAAGTCCTGGAGACCTGTGAAGCTTCGGCTTCACATTCGCTGTTTGCCAAATTGGCCATACACGCTTCTACAGTGGTTTGATTGCCTGCAGAAATATTTTCTGCCTCTGGCTGTTCCAGAGTCCTGGCCGTTTTCAAAGCTACCTGCTATGCTTGCTGTAGAGGGTGTATCGGTATATAAATAGGATGGAAGGCTGCCAAGCTCGGGGCCTTATCTCCTTTCCGGAGCTTCTGGCATGCATTTATGGGAGGGTCTCGGGGGCAGTGAGCCTGAATATATCCCTTTACCCCACAGATATGGCAGGTACGTTTGTCTTTGCGTCACTCAGGACAGTTATCCACAGAGTGAAGAGTATTTTTACGGAAATTAATATAACCGACAGAACTTAATATCAGTTAAACTTTTTTTTTGATATTAGTACCCTCGAGTGATTGCACTCACAGGACAGGGCACACACATTTTGGTAAGATAATCCACATAACCGTACCCAGGCCACAGCACCACATCAAAAGGACAAATCTTTGCATACTTTCACTGCTCACGAATTTGACAAGAATATGATCGTGGATCTTACATTCGCTGCATGGGCTAGTGCCATCAATCCGACGACTGTCTTGTTTAACATTGAAAAAAGCATTCCTGAAAGATAAATGGATCATGTTCTATCAAACGGTGTAGGTGTGCAGATACTGCCGGAAGAAAAAACACTACCAGCGCACCTCTTTGCAAAACGTGCAGCGTCTTTGGCCATGCAATTAAAAGTCGTGAATGCCCCGCTGATCCAGATAACATTGAAGCAGAGCAGATTATTCAAGAGTGGCAGCAGATTGCACTTACAAAAGCCGAGTCCCTTTAAGAACGCCAAGTCTCTGTCGCTATGATAGAGACACCCCTATGACAAGCCATCCCAGAAATTCTAACTCCTCGCAAAGTCCAACCATCCTTATTTCACCCCTCACACTCACAATCCATTATTGTTCCATATTGGTGATGAACACTAGTGTCATGGCGACAAGAAATTTGGCTGCATAGAACAACATTGACCCATCTTCCATAGATATCGCTGTGTATGATCCGTCCGGTCGTGGACTCGATGCCAGAAAACATTTCCAGGGTGCCCGAGGCTTATTCAATCACAACGATGGCATCAACTAACCGATATTTTCTGATAACAAACATAGAAAGTCTCTTCTTGAGCCCACTTTTCGGATTATCTCCCAAAGCGCAACCTTATACACTGACCTGGATAGTAACACACCTATGACTGATAAAACTGAAAAGTCTGGTCATTCAGATGAGCCAAGTTCATAAATGATTGCACAAAATCTCTGTAAAGAAACCTTAAAAGGTCGAAGTTCCCTCTCTACTATCAAAAACCCGCAATCCCAAAAACTTTTTTTTTTAATTTGACACCTTTGAATATTCTCCCCTCCACTTTCATAACCTGCTCTTCAAGAGACTCATTTACTCCCTATACATCACTTGTATATTCACATTACATCTCAACCACAGACCAGCCTATGGACTATATATTGCGACCTCTCCTCTTTCGATTCTCTCCTTCAACTTTCACCACTCTATGTTTAGCCTGAAAACCGTGCACTCGTTGTCAAGGCTAAACACACCGATCATCACCTTGATCCTTTTGTAATTGTGGTCATTTATAGACCGAACATTTCTTCCCACCGGCGTACATTCTTCTCTTCCTTAGTACGCACTCTTTCTACTGTTATTCTTTCTTTTCCCGTCTCTCGACTTGGAGACTTTAACTGTGATCTCAGTCATTATTGCAGCCATACACCTGACTGGAAAGGATACATACAGGGTAATTGTCCAGATATCATAACTAATTCTTCTTGACTGTCGCTACCTAATTTCCACAGCTCTCGCACACGCATCGACTACATTTTCTGTCCACACAGCATTGTCCCCAAACGTCCTAACATAACAGTTATTAATCCTTCATCAACTGATCCCGGCCTCCCTGCAGTATCCATTCCTTTCTCTCGCCCATCGGGTCCTGGAGTCTGGAAATTCAACACTCAATATCTCTAATATGATGAATTTGATGCCCTCATTACTGCATTTCTGGATAAGGCTGACTTTTTCCTCTCTCATGACACGTCTATTGGTTCTCGTTGGAATAATATCAAACAGCTCATCAAACAGCCCGTCCTCACTTATTCTAAACGAGTTTAGCGTCGACTCAAGAATCAGGAACGCCATCTTCGTCGTGCTAGGAATGGATTTGAGATTTACACCTGTTCTTCTCAACTTAACATTGAAAATCTGCTCGCTAACATACAATTGTCTCGGGCATCCACCCTAGCTACCACATCTGGTGCTAAGTGGTGTGAAGCTGGTGAGACATCATCCAAATACTTTTTTAGGGTACTCAAACAGTGAGACGCCGCCAAAAGTATTTCTTCACTTGTCGATCCTGTTACTGGAGTGACTTACACTCCCTCTGCTGATTTATTTGGCCATACTCGTTCTTTCTACCAATCTCTTTACTCATCGGAACCCATCGATTATTCCGCTACACACACACTCATCGACAACTTCCCATACTCTACTCGTTTCCCTGCAGATTAATCCACTAATTTAATTGCTGATGTAACACTGGACGAAATCCTTGCTTTACTGAAAGCTACCCCCCACCAATTCAGGCCGCGGCATATATGGTTTGCCATACCCATTGTGGGCTCGGCTTTTTTCTCATACGACCATCAAAACAATTGCAGTTCAGGTTTATAACGACTCTATACGTAGTGCTTTCCTTTCCTCCTGGCTGGAAACCATACTCGTTCTCCTCCCCAAGGCAGGTGACACGACCTCCTTCCACAACTAACAATGGATCTCTTTGATAAAATGTGACGCCAAGTTGCTCACCAAAATGCTTACTTTCCATTTATGCTATGGTATTGGCCCACTTAGTATACCTTTTCAAACTGGATTTATGGCGGAGCATTTGATCGCAGACAATGGCTTGCTAACACGACTCGCTATGTCGCATACCCAACTAACCAATGCCTTTTGTGTTGACCCTTCTTTTGGATCAGGAGAAGGCTTATGACCGTGTCTACCCTGGCTACCTTTGTCTGGTCATGGCCAGGACCAGATTTCCCACCATGCTCGTCGACTCTGTATGCAGTATTTTTTTTTCTCTGCTCATATTTACATAAATGTGGATGGCCATATATCCTCTTCTTTTTTACTGGGCCAGGGACTACGTCAGGGTGATCCCCTTTCTCCATTACTTGTTAACTCGGCCTTCAAACCTTTGCTTAGATCCATTCTTGCTTCTCTATTAATCCGTAATTTCCAGTTTCTGATTCCGCCCTCTCTCTCATCGTCCTGTCCCGATCTCTCACTATCTCTACTCAGATTTCTCGCCTATTCCGATGTACTTCTTGTCTTTCTCTCTTTGCCCGCCGATAATAATACTTTACTAAACCCTTTGCATACATTTGGCTTAGCATATAATACGAAAGTCAGTCTCCACAAGATGGTTACTGTTGCTATGTCTTGACAGTTCTATCCGGATTGGGGCACTGTACTAGATGTTGCTGATATCCACAGTCTCCATGACCGCCACTCCACCACTAAAATCAGTTACCTAGGCTTTTCATTGGGCTCATATATCTCCCAGATTGAAGCTTTCGGTGCTGCTTTACTGGTCCAGCTTGGGAACCGTTGCACGCTACTATCTCAAAGATGCTTGTCCGTACGTGGTAAAAGTATTGTGACGAACTCACTTTTTTTCAGCTCGGTATTTCGTGTACTATATGCGACTCCTGCCCTACTATCTTTCTTTGGTGCCATTCGCACCAATATTTGCTCGGTGCTGCGCCTGGTTTTTGGTAGCTCTGGTTGGCCGTTTCTATGTCTGCCACGCAAATATGGGGGTTTAGATCTGCTTGACTTCGATTATCAACAAAGAGCTCTTCAATTATGATGGATTCTTCCTATATTGCACTATCACTCTTTTTCGTCTCCCTCATTTCTGTTACATTTCCTTAAATTTCTCATTTCATTACACTTTATGGCTCCTATTGCTAGTATTGCACTTCTGTTCCTTTGTAGTTCTGCAACTTTCCCGACTTCACTTCTTCCACCGCATCGCGCTAATACCTCACTTCTTTCAGCCTTACTCCCATCCAACCTACGCCTGCAACCACCGGTAGTTCAACACTTTCCTCTGGCTTTTCTATGGATGTATTTACCACCTTTTGTTGAATATTATTTGAGCCTCAAAACACTCCTTGTGTCTGATGCATTTTCGATTAAAGAAGATAGCTGTTTCGCCCGCAAATCTCGGAGTACCTTCTCTTGGGCATGTAACTATATTGGCCAATTCTTTTGGCAGCTTGATTCTGGAAGTATGGTACACTGCCCTTGGTTTATTTCTTGCCTTCAACCCTGTGACTCCTTCGACCCCACCCCTCCCGATGTTTCCTTTCTTCTGTCCTTGGTGTAACCAGACAATGCTAGGTTTGGTGAAGCCTGCACTGGGTCTCTAAGTCGTCATATTCGCTCAACATCAAAACCACCGCCCAGCTTATCCATCCAATGGCACAAATTTTGGTCCGTCCTTATTCCTCACCACTGTCTAACTGTCTGGTAAACATTGCTCTGGGATCGAACCGCAACAAAACAGCGTTTGCAACGTTTAATGCCCCTTCGCTTCCCTAGCTCTTCCTGCATTTTGTGCAATGCTGCCACCGAAGATCAGTATTACTTCTTCTTTTGATATTCTGTAAAGCTTCAATTGTGGAATGTTTTCCTCTCTCGCTTTTGTCCATTCTGGAACCTTGATGATGCCCACCCTCTCCTGACCCGTGGAACTTTCACCCCACGTTCCTCTGATCAAAACTTCAAATAATCGTCTCTGTTACCACTGCCAAGACCATATCGAGTGCGCACAGGAAGTTTATCTTTGATGAGCAACCTTTTCTTGCTGGCGTATTTGCACAGAAGACATCCATTGTAATCGAGAAACACAGATCAGCACTAGTTTAACACTCTTGTCTCTTCCCTATTCACCAAATGCTCATGTTTTACACTTTCAGCCTTTATCTTTTCTTTCAGATCCTTATTTTCTCTCAAATCCACCAAGTCCACTTTGATGGCATTTTAAAATATGCACCCAGAGCATGCCAAAAGGTCAATAAAATACTAAAAGAAAAAAAAATCGTGGAAAGATTCAGTCTCGTTTGTCCTCACACAACTTATACCTAGCCCGTTCCTCTAGAATTATGTTGTCCTGGATAATGCCCATGTTCTTAAAGTAGCCTTCTGAGTTGTCAAGGTATATGTCGGCCACGGGAGGTTTGATGACCGATTCCCTGATGATGGAGACGCTGAAGATGGTACCTTCAAACTCGCAGGTATTTTCAATAGAAACGTTTTTAATGGAGGCGTTGCTTGTGGGAAAGTTGTTGATGGACGCATTGCCAATGGAGGTATTAGAGATGAGTGGCTTCGTAATGTTTGCTTTGACGTTTCAATCCTTGCTGTTGGAAGTAGCTGGGATAATGGTTTTCATCTGGGGAGTATTAATGATGGAAGCTTTTGAGCTGGAGCCATTTGCAATAGGTGTGATGTTCAATCTACTGGTCATCTTCTTAAAGAAGATACAGTTCACAGTGAAAAACGAGGTATTCGAGATTGTTTATGAGTTAGTATCTCAATACTGGGAAAGATAGATACTTTGAAAGTGTTATTTATTAAAGAGAATCAAAACAGTATTGTTTATATTTATTAATTTTTTTTTGTATTCTTTATTGGTTGTTGCCGACGCGCTTGCGCGCGGCTAATAAAAAGGAGATGAATGTGACATTTAGAGATGAGAGCTTGTCTCTGGTTTGTGTGTGTGTGGGGGGGGGGGGAGGGGGGATAGTGAGTGATTTTTACAGGAAATCAATGGGCGGAGAACATAATGTTGAAAAAACAAAAAAAAGAAAGGAAATTAATGAATTTATGCGACGTGTGGTGTCCTCATTGCCAAATTACGGGCCACTGCACTCGACGCTTTTTCCGCAACCACGCCAGCCAAGAAGGGAGATTCGTCGAAGATGAAGTTCCAATGAGCACGCCAAATTGCGTGTGCCGTGACGGCGACAAGTACCACAAGCAGGGCAGACGTATCGGAGCGCTTCGGCAATTTACCCAGAAAAAGGATGTCGTTAGCCGCCTGCAGATTCCATTCTGGTGCATGGCGAGCCAACATGATATTGCAAACACGGGATTTTGGCGGACAGGAAAAGAAAAAGTGTATGGGGTCCTCTACGGGGGCAGAACACAGCTGACAAACAGTGGACGACACCGTAGTGGGGATGATATAGTGGAGGCGGGCATGGGTCGGAACGCAGTTTCACAATGCTTTCCACCAAACGTTCCGACAGTGGTGTGGGATGGTTTGACGCCAGAAACTCTTCCAGCAGGCAGGGGTCAAATTGGTGGTCTTCACCGGAGGAGCCATATGCCTTCGAAAAGCGCCCGTAGTAACTTGGGCTAGACTTTTGTTATCGATATGGACCATATGTAGAAACGAGGTTAGATCATGTGAGGCGGGGGAGGAGGGCAGAGATATCATGCAGTCCTGGAACCATGGATGTAGCTGCAGGTGTCTAGAATCGATAGCCTGGAAAAAGTGCTGTATCCGGTTTCGAGCCTTAAGGAGGTCATGATATGGACGTCTGAGAATCACATTGTCCTGGGATAGTTTGAAAGCATCCAAAACCTTGACACCTTTCAGCACTGGGGCCTCATCGGTGGTATCGGTGGTATGGAATATAGCACCAAGGGGAAAGTGGAGCACCAAACTAGAGGGGAAGGACATTCCGTGCGGCATGACCGCAGGCCAAATCTGTGAGCAGGCGCGATGAAGAGGGATCAATGACGATGGGCAGGAGGCAGCGGGGCCAGGGAACAGGACACCAAGGCTAGCCGAGACGGACTGGAAATTTAGAGATATCATGAACTCAAGGTACGGTTTCAGAAAGGAAGTACCGGATTCCTGGTTGAGTATGGGGAGGATCCATCTGACCTGTAGAGCACGTTGTTGACGGTCCGGGTCGAGGAGGCCAATACCACCTACAGATCAAGGCTGACAGAGTTTTTCCCAGCTGGGGGATCCAAAGCCCAGAGCAAAATAGGACCGAATGGCAGAGCGGACAGAGACAAAGAAGGACATAGGAGCATGTGTGACATATAGGCAATGCCAGATAGAGCTGAGCAAAAGGGAGTTGGCCACTATGCCTTTGCCACGAATAGAGAGTCGACGTTGAGCCATCATTTGACATTGATGCTCTAGTTTCCTTAACAGACTCATCCGGAATGCCTCTAACTGAGCAGGGTGCGAGGACAGAAGGAACCCAAGGTATCGGACGGCCTCTGCCTGGTTACGATCGTGTCTGCAGCAAATATCCGCAGCATCGAGGACGGGACCCCAGTCAGGCACAAAGTGTCCGGACAACGCGACAGCTACTGTCTTCCCTAGGTTGACTTTGGCGTTGGAGGCCAGACCAAAGGTAGTCAGGAGGTCCAGGAGAGTGTCTAACTCAGAGGGATGAGAGAGAAAGACGAGAAGGTCATCAGCATATGCCAAAAGTTTTAGTGGGGGTGGTAATTGAGGTGGAGCATGATCAAGCAAGATAGACGGTATTGCAAATCGAAACCCATGTATGCCATCCGAAGCTAGTAAAGAACGCAGAAGTGGTTCGAAAGCCAGGTTGAAAATTAGTGGTGAGAGAGGGTCGCCTTGACGCAATCATCAGCCCTGTGAGAATGGAGAAGATATGTTGCCATTGATGTTGACATGTATGCGTGTAGAGAAAAACAACTCAGACACCGTATCGACAAACACCATCGGAACACCCATGTGAGACAGCACAAGGCGAAGATAGGCAGGGTGCACTCTATCATAGGCCTTTTCTTGGTCCAGTAGCAAAGCTATGCCAGGATCGCCGGAAAGTTGTGCCTGTTGCATGGCAAGTCGAGTGAGCAGTCCATTGTCCGTAATAAACCGCTCGGCCATGAACCCGGTTTGGTGGGGGTTGACAAGTGGTCCAGTGCATGTCCTGAGGCGCGCTGTGAGCATTTTGGTAAGGATTTTGGCATCACAGTTTATCAGGGAGATTGGCCTCCAGTTCTTTAGTAGGGTGAGGTCACCAATCTTCGGTAGGAGTATCAGTACCGTCTCGAGCCAAGAAGAGGGGAAAACACCACGCAATGCATCACCGTAGACTTCGACTGCTAACTCTTGGACAAAATGGTCTTTTAGAAAACGTTTCCATAGAAGGTATGGCAGTCCATCCAGACCCGGACTCGAGTGGTTCGGTGTATGCGACAAAACGCTCAAAATTTCACCCAGGGACACATCAGAAACAAGATAGGAAGAGTCAGACGGGGTAAGTGTGGCACTCGGAGGGACATGAGCCAAGAGTGAGTGGGCAGCCGTAAATTCAATGGGGTCTGCCGAGTACAAGGACTGGTAAAAGCTACTAGCATGCCCCAAAAGGTCTTCTGTTTCGGTGAAAAGCTGTCCTGTACTAGGGTCCGTAAGTGAGGCAATGGCCTTGTTCGATGTTCTCTGCTTGATAACTCGGAAGAAGTACTTGTTAGAAGATTCCCCTTCTTCGCACCACTTGATCCCCGCACG